CCAACGGCGGGTCCCCGAGATAGGCTAACCACCGGGTTTCGTAGCTGGATGGTTAGCTCTTAACTCTGGTGTACCCTCAGAAAAAAGGGAAGTAGTAAATGTTACTGTCCACCTTTGCTTGTGACATTTTCTGAGCCTGGATCCTCTCTTGAAGTATAGGGATTGCTGACTGATTTTTCTAGGAAGAACTCAATGTTTTCATTCATGTGCCTGCACTGTCTGGTGGGGTTTTTTTAGGAAGCCTCTGAACATTTCTGCTCCTTTCTTTTGTTCTTTATATTCATTGCCTTTTACTACTGACTCCCCCCCAGTTATATTTTATTGTCCAAGCAGATGCAAACTGGGCCATTAAGGCAAAAAAGTATCAAATATCTGCTATAAGTAAATGCATTTTCAAGTTTCTCTGTGTTAAAGCAAATGCACACGCTCATAAATATGTATATGTCCAGGGCATGCATTGTGCATCCACATACATATCAAAACGCAGATGAGAAAAATTGTTGTGTGATACTGAATGAAAATCTTGGGACAGAAGGAAAAGTAAAGGTACTGGAGCAATCCAAACTAGGCTCTGGCAGGTTGCCACAGATGGCAATAAAGTTGTTGTCAGTGAACTCCTACCATTGAAAACATGTCACTGAAAAAAAAAAAAAAACCAACCAGGAGATAACGCAACACGAATATTTTTTCTAGGCTTCCTCACAAAAATACGTTTTCCAACAGCAAGGTTTTTGGCCTCAGGAGTGGAACCTTTTTGAAAGAAGCAATGCAAGAGGAATGCGTAGTATTTTAGGGTTTTGTTCTGCTTGCCTGGATTTCCCTTCATGCTTTTGCTGCCAGAGCAAAGTTGTTTGCAGAGCTCTAGCAAAAGAATAATTTAGAAACAGTTATTAATAATAATCCCTTACAAATGCCATGAAGTTCCTGTGCCATCCTTATCCCGCTGGTGGAAAGATACAGGGTAAGGAAGAGAGGAATTTGCCCGTAATATCAAAATTGAGAAGGATGGGAGCTACAGCCCCTTTTTGCTCCCTTTGCAGCTCCAGGTTTCTTTAGTCACCTGGGATTCCCAGCAGCAGATGCTGCAGCTAAACTAAGATTTCTATTACAGCAAAAATACAGTGAGACCTTCCTGCTGAATTTAGTTAGAGGAGTAATGGTCCCTTTCTGCCTGGTGGGAGCAGCTCTTCCCTGGGAAAAAGGAAAAAGCTGCATTTATCTGGCTGTGCATGGGGAGATGGTGTGATGAGTACAGTATTCAAACAGAAAGTACTCAGACCCTGAAACTCCCTCCCTTGGTGCTGCTGCTTTCTGGCTCCTATTTTAAGAGGATCCGGGACGGGTGCTTTCTCACATTGTGTGTTGTGCAGGTACGTGGAAGTTTCCTGGCTCAGCCCAGCTGCCGCTCCAGCCCCAGGACACAGCTGTCACTCTTGACAGCTGTCCGACAGATTTCTGATAATTTTTTGCGGGGGTTGTCTGCACAACTTGTAACAGGCAGAGAGGGACTTTCCTGCCTGGCACTTGGCGAGGGGAGTAAAGTCTTTCTGTACCGCCTACTTCATCTTTATGCCACAAAGGCAGTTGGGTCCGTGCATGGGTAATCCACCCCTCTCCGTGGAGCGAAGTCCCAGCAGCAGTGGAGCACCTGGGGTGCATGCAGCATGTCTGTCCCCCTGCCGTAATGTCATGCATCGCTGGTTCGTCTCATTCTTGCCACATACAGCAAGTTTTGTCTTTCTGCATCACGGGGCCAAGGCTGCCTGATCCCAGACCCCTGTGCTGGGCTCCTTATCGCCCAGACTCAGGGTTTCCTCAGCGGTGTGCTCTTGCAATAGCCCACATCTGCTTCGAAAAGGCAACCATGTTCTCTAGCATGGGGCATAGCAGTGGCAGGGATGGGGCCATTAGAAACAGCAGCAATAGTCAGCAATCCGGTGATATAACTGTGGTGATTTCTTTAAACTCCACGGTCATATCTGGTACGGGCTTTCAAAGCAAAAAAACCTTCTCAAGATTTGGTCTGTGTGGACAAACCAACTGGCAGACACCCACATTTAATTTGCATGCCCAATTACCCAGCTCATCAGCTTTTCTGTTCACTGATGATCCCCATCCCCAGACAGGAGGGATGTTTGCGCTTCCCTGTGTGACTCCTCCGCTTGGGCTTGGGGACACAGCGAATGCTGGCTCGCAGGGAGAGAGCTGGGTTTGGATTTCTGTGGTGGGTGAACCTTGCCTCGCCACGCATGATGAGCAAAGCCTGCAGGCACAAGCACATGATGAGCCCAGGCAGGTCACCAGCCAGCTTTTGGCTCTCCCTGGAGCACATGGCTTTAGGCACTGGTGTGGTGTTCTTGCACAAATCCACCTGTAATTAAAGCTTAATTTAATTTGCATGCTGACTGATCTTATGTGAGCGATGAGTGTAGTCTGTGCAGAACTCATGCCTCTAAGATAAGCCTTTTATTTCTTGATTGCTTTTTATGACCCAACATGTTTTGTTCTTAAACTTCAGGATTTGAAACAAAGAGGGGCAAAACACTTTTTTACATGTTGTTGTGACTTTGCAGCCAGGTGTACTTCAAAGTTGGATTGAACAAAACACACAGCTCCTTCTGAGCTGCTGAACTGAGATCCAAATTTTGTACTTGGTAGATTGTCAAAAATGCTCTTTGCTGTCCTCAGAGTCAAGTCCTGCGACCGGTGCTCCAGGGATAAAGAAGAATGACTGCTATATGCTTGTATTTGAATAGCTTTAGTGCTATTCATACTTGAAGCAAGAACTTGCCCCTTGCCTTGCTGTAGCAAGGCTGCTGGCATCACTGAAGTATGTGCTTTAAGTATATGCTTGGAGTTAAGTTAGTGTTTAATTACTGAGGCCCGTGCCTGACATACTGTGTAAATTATGGAGGGTTTGGTTTCTCGGCCACATTTAAACATTGGAGAACCATATTGTTTAGGCTTTAGAATTGCTTCCTTTGGTTTTGTTTCGTCAGGATGGAAAAGCTGATTTAAAAAAAAAAAAAGTAATTTGATTTCTGGTTGGTTTTCAGTCTTTTTTCATCTCTTTGCTTCTTCAAAATCCAGTCAATTCTTTTTTTAAAAAAGTAATCATCCTGCTATGAAAAGTTGAAATGAAATATCCTTATTTTCCCAACAGCATATTTTCTTTTTTTAGTTAAAACTGTGCACTGAGCTGGGCCCATTTGTATATGTGATGTTTTACTCCTGATAAAAGTAAGTTTGCTTTTACTTTACATGAGGTTTTTATCCACCAGAGAGTTCCAGCTGTGCAAGAATTGAGGCATGTTAGCTGTCCCATTGATCTTATTCGACTAATTCTTAAGCATCTTTGCATAGTTAGAGCTCTCTCTCCTACTTTCAGACAGGCAGCTGTATTGTCAAATTTTAAGGAGAAAAAGTTGCTGTTTCTTTCATGCTCAGTGGAACGTAGACTCCAGAAGCCAAATTATTCTTACAGCAATTTGGCTTTTGCGGCTGCCTCCTAATACACTTGTAGTGCAACAGAGAGAGAGGCTGAGGTAGTTCACAGCAGCCACTTGTTTGATGAAGGTCCATGTACTTTACATTGCTGTCAAGGCTGTGGGAAAACCCTCACTGTGTGGCAGGATAATGGAGCTACACGATGGAAAAGACCAAAGTCCTTATCTGTGCCATATCTTAATCTCCCTCTTGCTTTCAAAGATTTGACTCTGCTGCTCCATTTCTTGCTGTGGTTTGAATTTGCACTTTCCATGTCATTCATGGAATGATCACAGCTGAAAGCCTGGTTTAAAATCGTGTTTGCCAGGGTAACTACGGCAAAAACTGGGGGGAGGTTAGCAGGGCACAGCCTGGAGGTAGCTGCAGCGTCCTCGGAGCAGCGCAAGGAGCAGAGGATGGGGAGCAGCTACCCAAATGTTTTTTGCCACAGTTAACTGGCTCTGGGTAAGGTCTTTTGTTTCCTTACAGTAAGAGTTGCCATGCCTCCTTGATGCATTCAGCTGGCAGTGTTTTCAGCTCATACCCCTAGCCTTCCTGCCCTCGCCAGCTAGGGTCCTGTTGTGACCCCAGAGATCAGCTTTTATTCCTATTTTGCTTTCTGACACAGCAAAAAAAGCTGCCATTTGGCTAGGGGAACACATGCTCTTTGCCCACCATAAGGGGAGAAAGGAAGTGTAGCACTAAAAACAACTATAAAATACAACAAGAAGCAACTTTTTCCTTACATGGTCCAGTTAACCATTTTTGCTGTCCTTGTTGCTTCATAGATTCACATATACACTGGATGCCCAGTAGAAGTGTACGTCACCTTGCATGCTGTCCTCTCTGCACAAACCTGATGCTCGATTTGCATTTCTGTATGAAGGCACTACCGAATTCAGATGTTGCAACTTTCCATATGAGTTGCCCCTACTTTCATCTGTGCTGTTTAACCATTTAAGCCCTTGCAGACAACTCTGGCTCGTGACATTGTTCTGCTTTACCTCGGTGTTCAGGGAAGCTGACCTTGTTGTGTTGAAGGGCTAAGCCGTTCTCTTAAGTGGATTTTGCTGATTGGATTGTCCTTCATGTTGATGCTGTGAGCAAAATGTAATCACATGAGTCCTGTTAAAAACTCCTGCCTGACCCTGGAGGCCATAAGCTGTTGCTGCAGCTGGTGTGGCTAAGCCAGTTTCTGTAGCCACTGGCTGACGGGTGTGTGTAACTAGCATCGTGTCTGACTGCCTTTGGTGTCCCTACCCAAATGGTTAGGTGTGGCAGACAAGCAGGGACCTTTTTATGTGAGCAAAAGAAGATGGCATTCACACCTCTGGAGACGTAGCAAGACATCTGCTCTGTGCTGCCAGAGTATCTTCTGTAGTACGCACCTCACTAATGCCAATGTGCTTGCCTTTGCGGAAGGAATTCAGTTTCTGAGAGTAAAATACCTTGGTGCGTTCATTTTAGAAGTTCTACAAGTAATATTTAATTTTCTTGTTTGTATTTTACAGAAACCTGTTTCCTGCAAATCTTGTTGCTGCAGCTTTCCGAACGGTAAGATATGTGTGGACTTTGGACATGAGCTACAGTACACAGACAGACAAAGCAACTGCTCTTTTTTGAAAAAGGACTAGAAAGATGGTGTAGAAAATACCAAAAGTTGATTTACTTATAGTAGGTGGGATTTTTAGAAGCACCTGATGTAATCAGACATACAACTTCCATGGCAAACGGTTTGATATTGAAAAATACTCCTCAGACAAAAGCATATTCATAGCCCATGTTTTGTACCTCCACCAAAAATGTTTTTTAAACTTTTATACTTTGGGTGCTGTGTTGGGCAGCAATGGCAATTCTGCTTTGTGCCAGGCTGCTTATCACTTTGCAGGAGCTAGCTGGGAAACCCTTGGGTATGTAGTTTGGAGCTGGGCTCAGAACAGACAAGGCTAAAGACTTTTAGGCTCCCATGTGTGTAAGCATTACGTGTTGCCTGATGCTTTTATTCAGTATTTTTCCATTGTATCCCTTGCTGGATTAGTTGCTCAGCCTGGCTTCTCTTCCGACAGAGGACTAAGTGTGGTAGGATGATGACTGGCACCAGAACATAGTGTGGTTTAAACTGATGGACAGGAGCTCTAGGGCTCCAAGAAGACTTTGATTTGGTTCTTGTTGCTAATTTTAGATGTCAGGATAGACACCGTTGAGAATATTGCTATGGGGCAGAGTGATTCTTTATGATACAGGAGCAGAATAATAGTTTTTGCCTTCATGGTGTTCTGTGGGTTTGCTTTTGTATCAAAACCAAGGTGAAACTCTTAAAATGAAGTTCCATTTTGAGTGTATATATAATACAGTACAAGTCAATATGCCATAAATAAGAACAGGAGCAGTACAAAAATATCATTAAGAAAAGGATATTCTGTGATACCTCGAGTGTCAGGGTTCTGTATGTTCAGGGATGAAATAAAGAAGTCCTCCTGTCCTCTCTGCTGCTGTTGTCACAGGTAATTGGCAAGTACATAAGCTTTTCTTTCCCCTATTTTATATCTAAAGAAAACAAGCCCAAAGAAGTGCCCTGCTTTTGCGAGGTGTCTAGCTTATTTATCAAAGTAAACTGTTGCCCTAGATTTTGGGTATTTTACTGACAATTTTAGTGCCTGCCTCACCGTTTCTAACAGTGAAACAGTGCAAGCGCCACTTGCCTTCTGCAGGAGCCAGTGCAACAGCGTTGTGTGTGAGCAATAGCAGGGTGGAGGAAAGGGGAATTCCTTGGCTGCTGCCCAAACTTGGGAGCTTGGGGGGTCACAGAGCACTTCTCTGTTGCCACACGGGGAAGGAGCTGCATATGCTGTCGCTCCCTTTTCTTGCATAGGACAGGCTCGTTAGCCTCCACAGTATGGTCTCCAGAAAAAGTCTTCCTAACAGTAATCTCCTTGTGAAACGCTAGATGATATGGTCATATTGATGATCTGATCAGCAAACATTGTGGTTTTGTTTGCGTTTTTTCTTACCTGCAGTATGCGACAGAATATAAGATGCTGCTCAGAAACACTACCTCTGGAAATGTCACGTGGGAAAAGGTAAGGTCACTTCTTAGGTTTTTATACAAACCCTTGTCAACTGTAATATTTGACTACTCTGCAGTCTTTAATCCTTTCCAGCAGTCATTGGAAAGAAACAAGTACTTTTCTTTGCCTGGAACTGAGACACACACAAGCCAGATGAGTTACCCACAGCCACACAAGAAAGCTATGATGGATAGGAGAGTTGGGCTCAACTGATCTGACTCTTGAGACCTCATTTTTAGGCCATGCTTTCTTAGACCTAGTCTCACTTGATCTAAATTTTGATTAGTCACTCTGCCTAATGTTTCCAAATAACTTTCTGTAGACTTGGAATTAAATAGCAATCAGGCTGGCTGAATATGTCCCTTAAATCTTACTCTTCATTAACAGTTTGGAGAGAATGAGCTTTTTTCCACTACCCAAGGCT